TTTACATTTGTTCTCACTCTCATAACAGCCTAGCAGTTATTATCCCCATTTTACATATGAGAAAACTGAGGCTCAAAGAAGTCAAGTAACCTGAATTGAAACCCAAGTGTGTCTGGCCTCTAAGTTCATGCTCGTGATATCGTGTGGCCATTCCTCTGGTGCATTTTGCAGAACACAGGGCAGACCCCGCGCCCACGGTACCAGAGCTCTTCTGCACCGTGATGTTGTCTTTTGGACCCACAAAATGTGGTGGAGTTGGGTCTCCTGAGGCTACAGCTAGGGCCTGCCATTGCATATTTGGGGTGGTTTCTTCTAAGGCTTTCCTATTCCATTCCAGCAGAGCCAAGTTGCTCTCTTGCCCAGAATCTTCTCCATCCCTGTGTGAGTGAATCCTATAGAGCATTCTCCCTAACCTTGCCTGCTGCCCATGTGTCAGTACTGCATGGACTTGTGTGTAAAACTCAGTGACAGGACGTTTAAGACAGAGAGAGAATATACCGAGTGCTGGGTTAAAAGGAAACTTTAATTATTGTCCTGCCTCTGCCACTAATAAAGTATGTGACCTGGGGTCTTGACTGCCCTGGACCTTGTATTTCTCGTCTCTAAAATGGAGTGAACTAGGAGATGGCATACGGTTCTGTCCAGCTGTACATTTTTTCTTTCCTTCAAATTATTTCATGTATTTTTTTTGTCTGCCAGTTGGATTATAAATTGAGAGCAAAGGTCATTTCTTGTAGTCCCCCCATATGCCAATAAATTATCTTATTACACATGTTTTGCATGCTCGTGTTAAAAATCTCAGAGAATGAAAAATACAGGTATAAAGAAGAATGTAAAATCACTCTTACTCGAACCTCTGGAGATAATCACTGTCACTCTTTTGGTCTGCATCCCTCAGTATCATTTTCTATGCACCTTTATTTATTATTTATTTATGTACATATTTGTGTATGTGTTTATTTTACTGTCTTAACTTTTTTATTGTGATAAAATATACATAACAAAATTTACCACTTTAACCTTTTTTGAGTATATAATTCAGTGGCATTAAATACATTCACATTGTTATGCTACTGTCACTGCTATCCATCTCCATTGTATGGATTATCTCCTTTATTTCTTAACCCTGTGAGGTAGGCATTGAGAGGCAGTTTTGCTGAGTGGTTAAGAACGGAGCCTTGGATGTCCCTCTGGATTGGAATGCCACCTCTACCACTGAGCAGCTGTGATATTGTAATTTATAATATGAAATATATGTTTGGTCTTCATCCCTGTTCCTGGCACTTAGCTTTCAGCACCCTTGCAGTTTCCTAAGTGATTAGTAATATTTGGTTTTTATAACTTTAGAGCAATAAAGGTGAAATGGGTGTGTTTTGTTATTCATAACAAGCCCTTTCTACCTCACCAGAGTTTATATTAATGAGGTGACTTTTGGAATGCCTCTAAGACTGGGGACTGCTTGCCAGAGGAACTAACCTTGATTAGAGGATTGGAACTTGCAGCCTTACCTCCCAGCCTCAGGGGCTGGAGGTGGAATCAGTCACCAATGGCCAATGGTTTAATCAATCATGCCTACATAATGAAGCCTCCATAAAAACCCAAACGGACGGGTTTCAGAGAGCTTCCAGGTTAGTGAATACACGGAGATTCATGGAAGCCCCACGCCCCTTCCCACATAACTTGCCCTATGCATCTCTTCCATCTGGCTGTTCCTGAGTTATATACTTTGATATTAAACTAGTAATCTAGTAAGTAAATGTTTTCCTGAGGTCTGTGAGCCACCTTAGCAAATTAATTGAACCTGAGGAGGGGGTCGTGGAAACCTCCGATTTATAGCCAGTCAGTCAGAAGCACAGGTTACAACCTGTGATTAGCATTGAAGGGGGTGGTCTCATAAGACTGAGCCCTTAACCTGTGGGATCTGACACTGTCTCCAGGTAGATGACATCAGAATTGAGTTAAATTGTAGGATACCCCACTGGTGTCCCACAATTGCTTGGTGTGTGGAAAACCCACATACCTGGTGTCAGAAGTCACGTAGAGTTGTAGTAGAGGAGATGCGCAGGAGGAGTGAGTTTTTCCTTTACACCACCTGTGTGACTTGGATAAATTTCTCTTTGTTTTCTTTTGTGTCAAATGGGGACAATAATAGTAGCTTCTTCATAGGGCTGTTCTGAAGGTAAAGATTTACACTAAAGATTAATATAAGGCTCTAAGAACAGTACTTGGCCCGAAAAATCACTCAATAAATGATAGATATTTTAATTTCCATTGTTCCTGTCCTCAGGCTTCAGTGAGCACACAGATAGTTCCTTAAGTTATTTAGCCTAGCCTCTGTCAGTGATTGTTTAGATTGGTTCCATTTTTTTGCTATCTCTAACACCATGAGAAATGTCCTCTGTGTGCATTTTTGTGCACTATTCATTATAATACAAATATGGTAATTGGTGAGTTAAAGAATATGCACATTTTAAAACTTTTAATATGTATTATGAAATTGCTGTCGGAAAGGTTATTCTAATTAACACTCCCACTTATGGCCTTAATACCTCCACATATCTCTTATTGTGGTTAACACAGCCTGGTTCATACTTCATGCTGCTCAGTTTATATTTGTTACTGGTCAATTGTTCGTTAAACAGATGATCTAGAACCTTCAGAACCTAGAATAATATGAGAAGCATTTCATGGTAGCCCCTCTATCTCCCCACTGCCTTCACCGTGTGGTGGGTGGTCCTGGATGAGATGGGATGGCTTGTCTTTACAGGTGTCAGTGACATTTGAGGACGTGGCTGTGCTTTTCACTCGGGATGAGTGGAGAAAGCTGGGTCCTTCTCAGAGAAACTTGTACCAGGATGTGATGCTGGAGAACTACAGTAACCTGCTCTCATTGGGTAAGGAAATTTTCCTTGTAGATATACAATTCAGAAATTGGGATAACTTGGAACCTGCTTCCCTTGGTAAAAGCTTTGGGTCATCAAAAACTTTAACAAGTTTTGCCTTAGAATTGTACAAATTGGATCTCCATAAATATTAAAAACTTGTCCTCCTCATGGGCATGGAATTGCCCCATGCATGGGACAGTCTACACAGCTGCACATTAGAAATTCCCTTGTAGTTCAGGCTACATTTTCCTACTATGATTGTTCTGTGATTTGTTTGCTCATCTCTCAGCTGAGAGCTTCCCTCAGCCCTCTTCACTGACCTACCCCTTGCCTTCTCCTACCCCTTGCCTCCCCCAATTCTCTTTTCCAGCCAGATGAACATTGTATAAGCCATCTTTGAAGGGGAGTCAGACAGTGTTTTCTCTTTTTAAACAAGCTACGTGGTACATAATACTTTGGTACATAGATACTTTTTTACAAATTTTAATTCAGTCTACATCTAACATATTCCATCTTATATAGAAAGCCACTGGTACCCTATTAATCAAGGCTGCATGTTTATTGTATTTCCTAACGTACAACTAATTATTTCATCATCGTGTCCTGCAAGTCCCTTGCCTTTCCCTAACGCATCCCCTCACATCGTGGGGGCACAACCGGAGCACCCTGCAGAAGCTCTTTGCACCATCCCCTGACTTTTCCACTCAGATCTTGGGGTACCTCTTTGTGTGAAAACAGAACCAAGTCTTGTTTTTTTTTTGTGTGTGAGCAGGACTCCCATTTTCCAAACCAGAAGTGATCTCCCTGTTGCAGCAAGGAGAAGCTCCCTGGAAGGCAGAGAAGGAAAGTCCTGGAGGCTCGTCTCTAGGTGAGTGGGTGGGGCCGAGGTGCCCGGGAATATCTGCAGCAACAGTCTGCTTAGTAGGTGGACGGTGCGGCTGGGAGACGTTGGTCAGGCATGTTTCTCCAGGGCTCTCAGTCCTCAGGAAGTGGTGGAGAAGGGGACGCTAAGGCCCCACACACAAGCTTCTGCTTTTTCTCTGGTAATCATTTCACAAATGAGTCTTTCAGAATCTTTTTTATTCTCTCCTGTTGTATCAGAAGAGGGCTACATTTTCATGTATTCATTCAGCAAGCTGTGTTTAACGAGTTGCAAATAATTCATTCTGACTGAAGCTCAATGTATACGGGAAAAGAGGAGATGAGAAAGGAGACGGTACTAGAAAGTTAAGGGGGGACCGCATTATAACTTGCTTTGGTGCAGTTCTTAGAGATGTGAACTGTCCCATGGGTGACTGGAAATAATTAAAGGATTTTGAGCAGAAGAATTAGTGGTCCTCAAGGAAATATACGGGTCTGAATCAGAACAGGGTAAATGTCCTTCACTAAAGGCATAGCTAAGAAGCTGTGGTATGTCCCTCTCTGGCGAACAGCACCACGGTCAGGGACAAAGGGCACAGTGAGGTGGCCAGAGCTCCAAGACGCGGTAAGGACAAAAGCAGGTTATGGAGCATTGTTATGATAGGTCACCATTTGTGTCTAAAGAAAATTACGTGGGTGTTTGTCTAATGTATAATATGTGTGTAAGCGCAGAGAGCGGGGCTGAGGGAACACCGCTTAGCTGGTTCCATTTGGAATGGGATGGAGAATGGGCGTGAGGCAAGGGGACTTTATTGACATGTAATGTTTTAATTTTTCACAGAGAATATGTTCATGAAGTCCTTATGAAATTGAATTTAATAAGAGTGGTCACTTTAGAAGCAGTGTCCGGCTTAGATTTAAAGTGAGGCAAAGGTGGAGGTGTGAACATTCCAGAGATTAATGCATAATGTAGGCAAGACGATACTGGGGCCCAGATGAAGGCATGTGCAGTGGGGTTCATCGGGGAGCAGGAGGGCCCGTTGTTAAGGGGACAGGACGAGTTCGGTGTGGGATGGGTTCATCTGAGATGGGAGTGAAATACTCGGGTAGAGATTGCCAGTGGACACTTGTATAACATATAAGGGGTTGGAACTCAAAAGGGAGGTGAGGGAGCCGTCGCTGCAAAGGTGGCATTTGAAGCCTTGAGCTGACCAGATGAGGGAAGAGGGCAAAGGACAGAATCCCAGGAAACCTCAACATTTACGAGGTGGGTTAAGAAAGAAGAGTGTGTGGCTGAGCCTGAGAAGAAGTCATCAGAGGAGAGAAACGGGAGAGGCGGCTGTCGTGGAAGTTGGGGACAGAGAGCTGTTGAACTGGGGAGGCTCGGGCTCTGGAGGATCCAGGTTCCAGCCCTCACCCACTGTTTTCTTATCCCGTAATAAACGGAGAGTGAGTTCCGTGCTGGGCACTGGCGGTGCAACAGTGGACAGAAAGATGCAGGTCCACCCTGGTGGAGCCCACAGTCGAGTGGGGAGACAAGTGTTCCTGGACTGAGGGCACACAAGGGTGTGGAGTGACAAATTCCAGTCAGGACCTCGTAGGTACCATGAGATACAAAGTGCAGTGACAGTGTAGAACAGGAGGAGGCAGTGTCGGCAAAGGCTTCCCTGAGGAAGGGCCGGATCCCAGGATGTGGAGTATCCCAGGCGTTGGAAAGGGTGTGTGAGAGTCCAGGGAAAGGAAGCCAGCATGTGCAGACAGGAGCGAGGAGAAGGATAGAAGAGTCAGCAGGAGAGGAGCAGGGACCAGATCCCGCTGGGCGAGGGAGCCCTGTCAACAGGATTTGGTCTGTGCCTGAGAGCCAGGCACGGCCCCTGCAGAGCTGCAAGGAGCCTGGCCACAGGCCCAGGTTTACATTCTGCAAAGATCAACCTGCAGCCAACGTGGAGCCTCTTGGTGTGGAAGTGGGAGGACTCGTCTGAGGCTGTTGTCAGGTCCAGATGACTCAGTTAATGGCCCCTCATAACGTGGGCCCAGCAGAGGAGCTGAAGGACAGGCCGTCTCGATCCCCAAAGCCCCCACACCGGGGGAGCTTTTTTCCTACTGTAAGTTGAAGTTTTTGATGTGGGATCCACGCTTGTCTATCTTTCTATCTTTTTAACTCTCATTTGGGAGAAATACACTAATTTTGTGGAAACTGGCAGAGGCCACCACAGAGTAAGGAGAGAATGCAGGCAGCGGGGAAGAGTTGAGAGTTAGGAGGGGTGTCAGTCCCGCTATTAGGTTGGGCTGAGTCTGGCCTGAAAGCTCAGAGGAAGAGAAGAAAGGATCCCTTCCCCCTCACCTCGGGAGCCTCTCATCTGTGAGTGGGTCTCCCTTCCTGGGTGAAGTGAGTATTAGTTGGATTAAACAGAAGAGAAAGTAAGACGGGAGTCCAAAGCTGTCCAGAGAGATGCTGGGGCCACCTGGTGGTGGGGTCAGAGTCCTCAGTTAGCCCCTTCTCGGGTTTGGGAAGACGTTCCTGAAGGGCAAGTATGAGTGGATGTCTGAAGGAGGTAAGGACATCAGAGCTGACCAGTGTGTGCATTTCCCTCAACGGGGTGAACTTCCTGTTTCCTCAAAGATGAAAGATAGGACGTCCTGGGAATGCTCATGTGTGGTTGTGTGCGTCCTGCACCCCTGGTGAGTCTCCCATCGGCCTGGACTAAAGTGGCCTCAGAACAGCTTTCCCTCCCCAGGAAAGGGGTGCTCACTTGCCTGTGGGCACAGGTGAGGGACCTGGAAGTACCTCAGATTATTAACTCTAGACCAGAACCAAAACCTACCCTTTGAACAGCCAGTGACAGAAAAGCTCATACTCCCAGGATAGGACTCTTAGAACCTCTAGTTGCCTCCAAATGTGCTTTAAGAAAATTATTTTCCCTTCAAAACGATTCACAAATAGGAAAAACAAAACAAACCAAAAAGAAAAACAAGCTGTGTCATCCCTGGCTGTGTATGTTTTAAATTGAGAGCTGGGAGGAGTTGGCTCAGAGGATGTGCAACTCATCTGAGTTTTTTGCTTAAGGAATGAACCCAAAATATAGTCGCTGAGGCTGGGTTTTTCTGGAAGAGTTAGAATAAGAGTAATATGATTAAACCAACTTGTGCATTTCATGAGTTTGATTTACACCCAAATGTGGAAATATTCTTGAAATCTAAAATTTAAAAATCCAGAGATGATGTAGGTAAACAGTTACCTCCAGTGGAAAAGCGTTCTTCTGTCCTTGTCTTTTTCTCTTCCTTTGTTACTTTTATGCAAGAAACCACGTAGGGCGGACTGAACTTGTGCAGGGTGGTCAGCTGAGGGGTCTCTTGGGGGCTGCCTTCCACTCCCCGAGATTTGCCGGGGCTCCTGCACAGAGGGCAGGAGTCTTTTTCTAATTTGCACAAAGGTGCTGTTGGGGTTAGCAGCCCAGTGAAATAGCATGCAGTGGTTTTGAAGAGTGAATTTCTTACAAGGTGAAAGTGGAGCCCAAATGCACCGTAGCCCTGTTTAATATGTGTGAGTTAGTCTTGTTCTTGGCCCTTCCTGCCTGACAAAGACCCCTACGTGTGCCCTATGCCTACCTTTTTGCCACCAACATCTGTTCCCCTTATAGCTGCCAGAATGATCTATGTAAAAGATAAATGAGGTCATCTCACTCCCTTGCTCAAAACCTCTAGTGGCTTCCATCACCTAGAGCACAATCCAGAGTGGCCTTCAGAGGCCTACATGGTCTGGCCCCGGCTACCTCTTCACCTTCACGTCCTTCTGCTCTCCCCTTCATTGGAGGACTCTGATCATGCTGGCCACCTTGCAGTTCATCAGGCAGGCCAAGCAGGCTTCCACCTCAGGGCCTCCGCATTTGCTTTTCCCTCTCCTGGACCATGCTTCTTCCTGGTGGTGCAAGCCCACGTGACTCACACTCAGCTCGCATTTTCTCGAATAGGCACTCTTCATCTAAAACTCGGCCCTCCATCCTCTGCATTCTTGATCCCTTCACCATGCTTTATTTTCCTCAGAGTGTTTGTCACTGCGTAATAGTACCTGTTTAGTTATTATCTGTCTCTTCCTCTGGATTGTAAGCTCCCTTAGGCTGGGTTGTCTTTTTCATTTGTTCCCATTTCCCCAGTACCTGAAACAGTGCCTGGTCAGAGTAGGCTTCCAGTTAATGAATGCATGAATGACTTGGCTAGGTTAGTGCTGTTGGAGACAGAAGGAAGTGAGCCAGCCTCAGAGATATTTGGGAGATAAAAGCAGCAGGACTTGGAGGTGGATTACATATGGAAGATAAAGGAGATGGATTTGTCAAGGATGCTTGCTTGGTTTGTGGCTTGTTCTGGGATGAACAATGATATCATTCACTGAGATAGTGACACTGGAAGGAGATCAGATTTGGAGGATGGTATCGATTTGGTTTTTACTTTTAGAGAAAATTTTACTTTTTTAAAAAAGTTTTTTATTTTGAGATAATTGTAGATTCACATGCAATTATAAGAAATAGTACAGAGAGATTTCATGTCCTTTTTCCCAGTTCCAAAACTATAGTACAACATTACAACCAAGATATTGATGTTGATAAAGAGACAGAATTCCTTCAGTCACCATAAGGGTCCCCTCTTGTTACCCATTATTTAGACACACCCATTTCTCTCTTATTCCCTGTCCCTATTCCCCACCTCCCCTTGTCCCTAACCCCTGGTAACCACTAATTCATTTCTAGAATTTTGTCATTTCAAGAATGTTATATAAATGGAATGATACAGTGTGTAACCTTTTGGGAGTGGTTTTTTTCATTTAGTATAGTTCTCTGCAAATTTATCCAAGTAGCTGCCTGTATCAGTATTTCATTCCTTTGACTGCTGAGTAGTATTCCATGAAGTGGATATATTATATTTTGTATAACTATTCACTTGTTGAAGGACATCTGGATTGTTTCCAGTTTCTGACAGTTACAAATAACACTGCTATAAATATTTGTGTGC